ATCAAAATTAATTGGTGACATCTGATAAAAATAAAAATTGTGTTTACAACAATTTATTCTAATTAAATTTGAAATATTGATTTACAAAAATAAGTGATAATTTACTGATGTACAGGTAATTTTTATTGAAAACAATCATATTTAAGTTATTGTCGTGTCTTAATCATATATTCTTTGGAGAAAAACTTTTTTTTTGAAATATAATTTTTTTAAAACGCAAGTCTTATTGTTTATAAATCATAAATAAAGATTATAATTATAACTCACTTTAAAACACATATATTTGTATAAGAAGCAAGTTTAATTTTTCAAAAAAGAAATATGAAAATCAAATTGCATATTTTAAGTATGAGTTGAATTTTCTTAAAAAAATAATAAAAATATGGGGATTTATAAGAGTTTTGAAAACGAGTTAACATTTCATGACTTCCATAGAGGAACATAAATATAGATAAAAACTTATTCTACTGTCATATGTACAAATGATTAATGATAACCAATCACATTTCTTGATATTGCTCCCATAAATATAGTAACCAAACACAACCAAACAGTATAGTTTGAGAAAACTACTATTTGAAGGATTTTCTTTTGAAAAAAATACATAAATGTGAGAGAGAAAGTGGATTAAGATTTTATATTTAAAACCAAAATAAAAGTCAAACGAGGTTTATATTAAAAACTGGAAGTAGTATATTTAAACCTTATATTAAGAATTGAGATAAATCCTAAATTAACTTTTACATCGATATCTTAGACCAGAGTGAATGCCAAGATTATAGGACACACCCGAATCGGTTTCATTTGTACCCTTGATTAAGTATGAGAATATGAGCATGAGCTCAAGCTTACTTGTTCAATAAACCTTTCTTTCGGCTTGAAACTTGAAAGTGAAGTTTTTTTTTTTTTTGGGTTAAACAACATACCTCAAGAAATGGCATATCTTAATTCTTAAACAAACTTTTTGCTTACACTCATTACACTTTTGTCGTTGAAAAAAAAAAAAGCCAAAGAAACTTCTTAAAGTGGAAGCAATGTTGTTTTGAATTTTACAGCAAAGGTAAATTGTAATTAACTACTTTTTCGGTTCTAAATATAAGACTTTATACATATTAATATAAAGATTTTATATTTAAGACGGAGTATAACCTTGGAGTTAATAACTCAATGGCTGCTCACCTTGTCAAACAATGTCATACACGTCCCATCTTTCTTCATTTGAGATAGAGGATGATGAAAGAAGCTTGTTCCTAGTCTTTTACTCTTGTTTCGTCTCTTTTGCGATGTAAAGTTATTCAGTTTCTATTAAAAAAAATTATAATAAAAACTTCTCGTGGATTTCGCCATGCTTTAAACAAAATAAAAATTATAGACTTATGTAACTTTTAACAAGATTATACGTTGTCTTGAGAAAAAGACACTAGTTAGATGGTAAGTGAAGTTAAAATTCAAAGAAGCATTCATTTATAATACGTAATCACACTTTAAATAAAATTATCATTAATAAAAGAATATTTGTGTGCAATGAAACAAAAGATGCCAATTACTCATTCAATTCTTGGTGTAATTAAAAACTACTTAATTAATTTGAATAAATTAATTAATTCAAATTAATATCAATCATCTTCTTAAAATATCTTTATAAATCTATATTAATATGAGTTATATAAGTTAGATAAATTAGTTTAAAAAATGATAAATATGCATATTGTTCTACTCCTCCGGTCCTTAATATAAGACCCATTTAACTAATTTGATTAGATTAAGGAAGTTAGGTATGTTAGTTAATTATAAGAAATGTGACATGTTTTTCCTAAAATACCATAATCATCTCTCTTAATACCTCATATTCTTTTTCTACTTGATTATGGTTGATGAAGTATCTATAAGGGTAATTTAGAGACAATTAATAAATATGAGAAATGGGTCTTATATTTAAGACCAAAACCAACTCAATAATTGGGTCTTATATTAAGGACCGGAGGAGTATAAAATAAGTGAGATACTTGCACTCATACAAAGCAATATTGATGCTATAAATTATATATAATCGACGGTTCAAGTTGAAACGTTCATATTAAAAACTCCCAATTTATCCACGAAAAACATAAATTTAAAAACAAATATAAATTTTTGGTTAAAAAAAACAAATATAAATAAAACAAGTGAAAGGAATCATACTGATCAAACAAGATGGTTTCAAATTTCTGAGCCCCACCACCCCCATAGTTTATTACTCCGTCAAAGAAAGCCAAACATCATTATTCAATGAGTTAGTTGGGAACAGTATAAATTTAATGTATTCAAAATTTAATTTTATCCTTTTTCTATTTATATAGTTTCAAAAATATAAAAAATAAAAGTTTATACTATACATTTACATAACTTTTAAGGTAATTATTTTTTTCCTAGTATATTAAGACATGCTTTTTTTTATTTAAAAAGCCTAAATGAAATTGGAAAAACGTGGTAGTAAGTAAAGCTGAAACACGACCTTCTCCAATCAGGGAGCCAGGTCAATATTGGGTTGATATGAATAGGTAAAATTAAAGTCTCTTGCGTTACTTGTTCATGGGAGACACTGAGTCAGCTGTGCTCATCTTCTTCATATGACATGTTTATTAAAATTTTTATAATAGTGAGATATAGAAAAGTCTATTTATGAAGACAAAGTCCTTAGCTTTCACTCATTCTATTAATTGATTTAGTTTTGATTAATTCTAATTTATCTTTGGTACCATTAATCCGCTAATTTTTTGGTACAGTTTTGGTTTGATATCTAAATTTTATAACGTATCTTTTTAATCCTTTAATTTTAAATATCTAATATCACTAGTTTCAACTAATGATTTTTGTGTTATAATTACTGTTTTTTTTTTTAGGAATCGAACTTTATTTATTATCATTTGTGATTGTTTGCTAATATTTAAAATTTTTGATGTCGGTATTTTTTTCAATGATTTTAATAGAATGGAGGTTAGAGGAGTACAAAAAGACTTCATAAAAACTATTGTACGCGGTTTCAACTAATACATGAATAATAATTTTTTTTCCAGACAATATATATAATTACATCATTAGTTCATTGCACATATAGAGAAATCAATATATTTTTTGGAAAAAATAGAAATCAATATATTTATTGTACTTTTTCCCCAAAGGAATATTTTTATACTCAGAACATGGAAGTTCTCTGAATTCAATGCACTTTTTTATATACTCTTCCGGTGCTAAATTTATTATCTAGTTATTGAGTTAATTTTGATCTTAAATATAAGACATATTTATCATATTTATTATTATTTTTAAATTACTCCTATAAATGTTTCCTCAATCATAATCAAGTAGAAGAGGCAGGAAAGATATTAAAAAAATGATTATGGTGTTTTAAGAAAAATCTATTATATTTTTTATAATTAACTAACTTACTTAACTCTTCTAATTTAATCGAATTAGTTAAATATGTTTTATATCAAAGATTAAAAAAATAATAATATATATATAGACATAGATAGAAAGATAAATATGCTACGACATAACGTTTACGTTCAGTCACCCAGATTCTGTCACTCCTCGGCTTCTCGTAATCCCCCCCCCCCCCCAAAAAAAAGGAAAAGAAAAAAAGGCTGTATTAGTATACTTATTTACCTAGTTAGAACGGGATGAGATGTAGGAAACGTGTTTTTTTTTTTGTTTAGGCCCAGCAATCGTTAATTTTTGTGATTTGTGCTTATAATAATTGAAAATTTGAGCTGGATATTTTAATTTCATTTTTGACAAATGATCTTTGAAATTTGTCAAAATACTAATAATACTTCCGATGTTTAATATAAGAGCTAGTTTAACTAATTTGAGTAGATTAAAGAAACTAATTAAATTAGTTTTTTATAATAAATATGTATTATTTTTTCTAAAATATTATTATTAATTAAATGTATTTGGCTAGAATTATCATTATTATAATTAACATTTTGGAAAAAAAATAAATATAAAAGACAAAGTGAATTAGAGTTTTATATTTAGGATCAAAATAAAAATAAAATGAGTTCTTGTATCAAGGAGTAAAGGTAGTATTAAATTGTTAGGCCTAAAAATATCCTAAGAAATACAAAATGAATTGCCAAAAAAAAAACCAAAGCTTTATTGGTGCGCTAAAATTACAAGTCAATAGCCTGAAACACTTTTTTTTTTTGGGGGGGCCAGAAACACTATTTTAGGCCTGATTTAATTATAAAAATGATTGGGTGTATATATTTGTTATTGAACATAATTAAATGCGCCTGAGTCCTTTAACATTTTTGAATCTCTTTCTAAAATCAATAGCCTGAGATACTGATTTTTGGTTAAGATAAAATTCACTAATTTGAGAGTCAACTAAGGATATAAAAAACGTATCATCTTTTTTATTCATTAATTTTGAAAAATAAAATTAAAAAGCTAAAATTTAATGGATATGCAATATAGAAAATATAAAAATAAATTACCAAATAAAATTAGAGAAAATATAAAATGAAATAACTATATTTCGAGCCTCTCTTTTTCATTCTGGCATCTGAACTTTGGCCTGTTATTTATTACTTATAAATATAACACAAATTTTTATGAATTTTGCCTTGTGTTGTATTTCCCTCAATTCTTATAACTCACTAAATTGAGTACTGATTACATTTTTTTAAACTGTACATATTTAGAGTTTGATACAGCTTCTATTTTCTCATCGGAAAAAAGAGTTGGATACAATTTTTATTTGTTTTTGACGATGTAATGTAAATTTAATAATTTAACCCCTTTCACAGATTTCCCAAGTGAAGTGGTTGAAGGTGGCTTGTAATAAAGAAATGAGAAAATGAATATATATATATATATATATCCATTTATGTGACAACGATGTAAATAATAAATTAATAAAAAGAAAATAGAGGAAAACGTCTTCGCGTTCAAAATTTAACTGTATCGCAGTATAGTGGATTTGATCTCCGCCTGGCCTCTCTTTCCAGACAGATTTCTCCATTGGTAGCACCGTCAGTATTACTTGGTCGTCGTCTTCCTCTTCCCTGACGCGTTCTTCCTCTGTCACGTTACAAATACAGCACAGCGCCGTCCATTAGCTATGGTCCCTTGCTCCTTTTGTGCACTTCATTTCACACTACTCTGCTGTACTCTTGATCCAGAGAACATCTGACTCAGCTTTTTCTTTCCTGCGCATCGCAAGCGTAGGAAAATGGTGGAGCTCTCCTTTGTCTCTAAAGCGAAGTCGGCCTTCCATTCAGCGGCTGCGAAAGCGGAACGGGTTCTTGTGGACTTGAAATCCGAGCGAGGTTCTACTGCAAACACACACTCTTCTATTTCCATTATTTCTCATGTTTTGTTCATGTGCTTCATGTTTCATCCCTTTAATTCAGATCACGTTGTGTTCCATTTTAATGTGTTTGGCGTGTACATATGTAATGTTTTTGTTTTTGTTCTTATTGGAATTTGAATTTTTTCATTGGAATGTGCTTTAAGTATTAACGCAATTCATTGCTGAAGGTCCTGACAAAGAATCGCCGGACAGATGGACTAGCAATCCTGAAGATGAATCTCATCAGAACGAGGGCGATTCAAAGGTAATGGCAGCGGAATGATTCTGGTTCTTCTGGCGTCAACTTGTTTGCTTCTGATAACTCTGTTTAGATTACCACCTAGAAGTATAATTACTTGTATTGTTATGTATTTTTAAAGTTCTGTTAGATATTAACGGAAGAAAAATTATGAGGAAATCGAAAAATAGACGGCTTATTGAGCTTCATGTGTTACAGTCCAATTTGAGAATATAATAAGCTTTGTTTTGTTTGGATGCTTCAATCACTGTCTTCCACTATGATTGCCCTCTAAGAATTAACTCGGCATCCACATATAAAACTCCTTGATTTTGTTCAGAATTATTTACAATATATATATATTTATATTTAGTATCTTTGCATTTACTTTGGTTTAAACTTCACAGGAGAAGAAAAGCATAGTCTAAACTCTGAAATGCCTCTTGTCTTCGATAATGATTACAAGTTATTCGTTTATGTATTTTTTGTGTTATCATTATGTATGAGATCTAATTAGGTAGTATAGATCCAAAAATCGAAGCTCATTACTTTTAAATTTTTGTAACGGGATGATGCGGCAGCTTCACAGTGAATTGAGGAATATGAAATGGAGGCCTGCATATAGAGGAATAAAGCAGGATTGGCAAGATAGGATTAAGAACATCAGAATAAGGAGAAAAGAAGTTGAAGAGACGGATGAACTCAGGGATATAACCATGGCTGTTCCATTTTATGAGGAAAATTTGTACACCGTCAACAAGAAATATGATCTTGAGGCCAAGGTAAGAAGATTTGAAGCATTGTAGTTAGGAAAATCTTATTAGATACACTGACTATGAGATATATTAGGAAAATCTTATTATATACACTGACTATGAACATCATGTATTCAACATAGTGTCTGAAACTATGCCCTCAGCTTTGACTAATATGATCATACGATACAATTGCTCATAAACAAACTGTTAACCTCAAGGTTAAATGCTTAAAATCTTCGAGCAGAATGACTGATAAGTAATTAAGATTTTCTGATTCATTATTATGCAAATGCATTTCTTTACTGATTTATGAGAAAACAATTGCTTAAGGTTTCAGAAGCAGTTCCCACGGTTGAAATATTAACTGCTGCAACTATAGATCCAACTTGTCCATCATCTGTAATTAAAGATTCCGTTCCCCCATCATCTGTGCTGAGGCAATTGGCTATGGCTGTTGAGTAAGTTCCCAAGTTATACTTGTTTGCAATGCTTGTGTTTGGCATTTTCAGTGGCTGGGCGCTACTTTTTGGTGTCCTGCAATAAATTGTATTCAATTGTTATTTATCATGTCATAAATGCTAAACTAATTGTAGCATAAATGTTTAAGAGGTTTTGTTTTAGTCATTCACGAGAGTTTTTAGATTATGATGAAACGAGCCTATCCCCTTAAATATTAACCTTTTGTCCAGGGCTGGAAGGAAAACAAAGTCGATGGAAGATTTTACAGCTTCAACAGGAGGTTCTTCACCTGTTCATGATAGGGCAGGTTTAAGGCTCTCCGCAGTGAAGGCATTAGTTTTGCGTGAAAAGGAGGACAAGCTTAACTTTAATGATGATGAGAAAGTTCTGTATTTGATTAATTCTCTGTTTGATCCAGGTAAGTGAATTTTGCGGTTCCTTGCTGATGATAAAATTACATTGGTGATATATTCTCAGTTATTTATATATTTGTTTGATGAACCGAAGGTGGTAGTAAAGATAGGTTGCTCCAAGAGCAGTATGGGTGCCAAATGATTAGGATCCCAAAGGGATAGGCAAGGGACCCAACCTAGAAAGATCCTTAAAGAAGACAGCTCAATTAGCCTCTAGGCACCAGGGATCTCCTTGGGAGGGTTGACCAATAAACTGGACTACCAGCATATATCGTTTATTATTTTCAATGTATTGTCCTGTATGATCTTTCACTTATATTGTAATCCTTGCGAGTTATTTGCAGAGGGGGAATTTTTCAAAAAGAAGATTAACTATGGTTCAGAGGAAACTGACCTATCATCATTTCCAAGAGATATTCATGGTGCTCCTCCTGAAAGCCTTGTTGCCAAGCTTGCTGAAGTCATTGGAAACTTCAAGAACCTTCGAGAAATGGCTCTGTTTTGGTGCAGAGTTGTTGTTGAAGTATGTATAACTAAATAAGAATTGATATTCCTCTATTTCATAAAAAACTGTTTTCAACCTTAAACTGAAGGTTTAATTTACCCTCTTGGTCGTTTTCTCTTGTGTGTGTGTGTATTCATATTTTTTTGTAATGTATATATTCATATATTTAACTTATGCAGCTGAGAAAACTTTGGTCTGAGGAGCAATATTTACCCAGAATCCCCTTGGATGAGATTCCAGATTTGAAATCATGCCTCCTGTATCAACAACTACAAGTAATAAATTGCTGTATCTCCCGGAAAAGGCACCATGTTGCTGCTGCTGAATCTATGGACTCTATGTTGCTAAAAGCCAGGTCAAATATTGATGAGTTAGTTGATTATAGTGACTGCAACATTGCTTCAAGTCCAGTCAAGTATGCTAGATTGAGTACTGGGGAGTTTGTTGTTCGACTTGGTGCTGACTGTCCTGCTGGAGATCTGATGTTGTTGGAAACTGGCGAGCCTGTTTATTCTCCTGTTACCCAGGTTTGATCAGTACATGTGCTAAATAGTACCGCTTAAACTTTCTCCAACTACTGGGATTCCTGAGACTTTTACATGTAGGAAGGACCCCTGCTTACGGAAGATCTGATTGAAGAAACGGAGGAGTTTGTGCTGCAGACAAGAAGGTCTGTCCACTATTTGCGATACATTTGATCTCTTAGTTAACTTGAGCTCTGTTCTTTTTTTTTTTGACTCATTTAACTAGTAAACTAATGCTAGCTTAGATTTCGTTGCAGTTATGAATCAATAGCTTTTCTCCTTGTAATTGGTATCATTTTGGCTGTGCTTGATAATTTTTCTAATCTTTTGTGGTCAGTGTTGGTGCTGCATGCTCTCAACTCCTCTCTGATATGCAGGCTTTCAAGGTCAAGCTCTCCCTTGAAGAGAACTTTCTCTTACCAATATTCTGAATGTTCCTAACTATTTTGAATGTTTTGAACATTCTATCTGAGTAAGTTCTGTTTAGTGTCATTTTGTAGGCTGCAAATCCAGGCTGTATTATGGAAGACTTTGTGAGATGGCATTCTCCTCCTGATTGGAAAGAAAGGGAGACAAGTGCGGAGGCCCAGGAATCTCTAGACGGTAGTGGTTCATTGTCCAACAGAGGTTCTCTAAGTCTGCGGATGCAAAAAGAAGGTGTAGTATAAGTTTGTCCCATCAATACTATCTAGCTTGGGCTTCACTCATTTGATTAACGAATTTTACACGCTGGCTGAACTCGTCATGAATGAGTAGTTCGGCTTAGTTCATTAAGTTTCATATTAACATTAATTTATTTCTATTTGAGAATTTAACCTTAAATGAAGTTTCCTGCAGTGAGTGAGTTGAAGTAAAATGAGCTTATTCATGATTTTTACTACTATGTTTTCTTATTTCATTGAGTATTAATTATTGTCTCATGTAGAAATAATGATGCATTAAATTATTTGTTATTGGTGAGCTCCTTATGAGAGGAGTTGAGGCCAGTAACAGAGTTTTTGAGCTCAAGTTGTTTAATAAGCAAGCTTCATATAAGAACTAAGCTTTAAGCATGTAAAGCTCAAATTATTTACTAAAAGCTATGCTCATTCACAGCTTTAAGCATCGCATCATGAGTTGAATATGATTTAATGCAAAAATAGTATCAGTACGCTGCATGATAAACTTTTGAGTTGGTGCATAAGATATTTATTAGTGACGTTGCTGTGGGATCATAGTATGAGACCTTTGATGTTTGGACGACCATGGATTCCGAATCTTCAATGTGCTGCCACCTAGATTTATTATGAAGATTTAGAACGTTAGCTTGGGCTCAAAATTTATGTCAGCATAACCAGAATATTTTAATTTTAATGTTAATTTTTTAATCTAATTAGTTGACTTTAGCGTAGGCTTGGGTTTTATATGCCTATTTACTTTGGACTAAGTATTGAATTGAAATTGTTGGCATTTTATGTTGTAGAAAGCACTAGCAGTTGCCGTTACTTACTCTTATCATTTCAGAAATCTTCTCTGTATGTTTTTTTGGAATAAAAGATGAAATCTATAATTCACATGGAAAATTAACAAAATTACAAGCGGGCTGAGATTCATTAGATGTTTATGGCAGGTAATTTGTGGCGTGAATTGTGGGAAGCAGCTAAGCCAGTGCCAGCTGTTAAACAGGCACCTCTATTTGATGAGGATTTGGCAGTGTGAGTCTAAATATTAAAAAACCAAATTTGGTAAATTTTATTCTTCAACTCATCTCACTCTAATGGCTTTTGACATTAATCTGCAGGGAGGGCATCCTGAAAGCTCTTGAAGACATCCAGCCTTCTGAGCTTTTTGAACAGCTGTTTATTTCTTTGGTAAGTTATTTGTTTTTGTTTTTCTCTCAAAAATTTAATGCCAGATGTACGTGGGCATGCTCTGATGAGGGTACTAATTAAGTACTTTTATTCTACCGTTGGGTTGTAGCTTTTTAGGAGAGAATACATGGTTATTTTGGCATGCATGAGAGCTTACAAGTGAAAACCGCAAGATTAGCATGCCAACGGGACGTCTACACATCCATTCACAAAATTTTTATCGAGCTTTAACTGTATGGCACTGGTTAACAAAAGCCTTTCCTACATATATGATCCTGCAATCAGATATATCATCTGCATTAATGTTCTCCCAGATATTTTTCTTTGAAAAAGTGGACCGGATTTCAGTGAAAGGCTATAACAAAAGCTCCTGTTGATATACCATATACACCGATGTATCTTGAATAGGTCTGACTGATTCTAATTTTCTGTCTTAATTCTACAGCTTGGTTCAGGATTTGCCATCGCTGAACCCGTGCTATCGGAAAACAGTGACTTCTCAAAACTGTTCTCTGACTGCAAGGAGTACATTGTAGTCACCTGCCAAGGCAAAAATTGGAGTGATAAAATTGATGACCTTTGCCAGGTTTGTGCTAGCAGCGTTAGTTTCTAATTTATGGAGTTTTAGTAGTTGCTTCCATGATCTTTTTGTGCTGTTACTAAAATTTGTTTGCTGCTAACTGAATTAAAACTTTAATTTTTCATTAAATTTAAAGTTAATATTATATGTAGGGTAGTCTGGGAAAATAGGAACTCTGTTGGATCAATCAGAATTGTTTTAGGGCTTTTACAGTTTACTCTAATCAACTCTACTTTCCAAGACTCTTTGATTAGCTTAGTCTGAGACTCATTCTGTTGAAGATACCTCCACCGATAAGCACATGGGGATGGGAAGATAATTGACAAAACTAAGCAGCGGTGTTAGATTTTCTGCCACGAGTTTTCCAACAAAATTACATGACACGGAAATTTTTTGCAGATCAGCATTGGATTGATTGAATCTTCCGAAAAACTTCTCTAGATGCTATGCTTTTTTATTAGATAACTTTGTAACAAACGTCTAAAGAACTTCCCTATAACCAACCCTACTTTTCCGGACCGCTTGATTCATATACCTGTGAGTACATGGGGATGTAAAATGATTCGCTGATATATGAACTGAGAAAGATACTAATTATCTGAACATTTTCTTTTGGCCAAAGGATATCTGAGGAACTATTTAATACTGATTCCTGTGATTTTATCAGAAGAATATTTAATGGTCCCATATACAGGTATATGAATCCGTGGAGGCAATGATACTGAATCCTGAGGAGGCACTGGGGATGATGAAGCAGACCAAAGAACCAAATATCATAACTGGTGAACTCAAGGATCGGTTTAAGAGGCTTAGCCTTAAGTTTGGTGGCAAAGATAAATTCTTAAGAAGGCCGATCTCCAAAGACAAGATAAACAATGAAGAGAACCCTATTCGACAATCATTTTCAAATTTCTTTGACAGCAAAACATCTTTATTTTCGAAGAAGCCCAAGCCTGTGGGAACATGCGCTGCTGAGAGCCCTCCTTGTCTTGAAAGTGATTGGACGATTCTCTAGACCAAGTTCCTCAATCCTCAAAGATTCGTTCTTTTGATTCGGATTTGTTTTTTGGTTCTTTTTGTACCCTAGAAGATAACTGTAAATATATAGTTTTTTCCTTTTAAAGTTAAAAAAGTTAGTGAACTTTGTAGCAAACTTCAAGGAATTCTTGTTTTGTCACAGGATTTAATAGCTTTTCTGGAATTGTAATGGATGCTCGTGAGCTGAACTAACTATATGCTGTTGTTAGGCAACTATCAATACAATAGCATGTTAGTTGTCTTGTCAGCAAATACGGATAAAGTGTTTGTGATATGCAAGAATTAATTTTGTTGAAGGTGGTTTCAGCTATATATACACAGTGATGAATGATAAAAAGGCAAATTGAACCATTAAAATGAGCTATTGGCATGTTGAAAATTGAAGTTAACTGCGACGATATATATTGTAAGTTATGGCGATAGAAAGGAAGATGTATGAAATATCATAATGCGAAACTTTGCGTTGAACAATTTGGGTTTCTGTTCCCATTATCTAAGATTTCATCCCAAATGTAGTCATTAAGTATATTGTTACAGCTATATAGCGGAGATGGAAGCATATTTGATATTCTTTAATATAGGAATAGTTAGAAGTACCATAGTGGTTATTACGTTGCAATCTGAGCCCCAATAATTGTACCGTACTAAACCTACTCTTAATTTTTGCTTTCTCCCTCTTTACATTTGTTGAATTAATCTGGATTGGAGCCTACATGCTGACATTGATGAAGTGGGAACCATAAGCTTCAAAATCCACCAGCACATGCATGTTCAGACCCACCTGTCACGTTTTGCTTGCAAATCAAACACTTAATTCCAGCAAGCTGAACACCATAATGTTCAAACAGAAATGTAGGCTAATTAATCCCCCCCCCCAATTCAATAAGGCGCCATTAATTTGTAAACTCTCTCTGAACCTTTTTTATTGTGAGGCATGTATTAGGATGCATGATTGGTCCTTTCTATAAATTATTTGATAAGTTATTTATTATATATTTATTTATTTATAATAATATCTATATTAACAATGTGTTGGAAATTAGAATGTAACAAATTTTATCATTTTCAATACATGGATTTAAATCTTATGAGTAAAATTGAAAATCTTTCTCTATCTTCAGATAAAATTATCGGATTAATTAAGCATCTTTTCTTGATCTCAATGAGAATAAGAATCATGAATTTGTTTTAGAATGTGCATTGTAATAAGGATCAAGAAAATGTGTGTGTATACCGCTTAACTTCACAAAAATTTATTGCTTTGGACTTTGGAGTTGTTTATGACTATCAGTTTTTGACTGACCAATCAACAGCCTTGTGTCAACTGAACTGACGTGGAATCTAACTATATGTTTGTGTCTATATATTGTCCAGTTACATTTTATACAGAGATAAACAAGAAAAAGACAGGAAATAATTTTGTGTATACACTACCTCCGGTCCTTAATATAAAATTTTGTTTGATTTTTATTTTAATTTTAAATATAAGATCTTAATTCACTTTGTCTCTCATATTTATTCACTTTTTCTCAAGATAGTCCTTCTAATAATAGAGTTTTAATCAACAAACTTAATTAGTAAAGATATTTTAAGTAAGACAACACTTATTTATTATAAATAAGTAATTAACTTAACTTGTTTCCTTAATCTACTCAAATTAGTTAGCTACCTCTTATATTTAGGACCGGAGGTAGTATATATTGTGTTTGTCATAATTATTTCCTTATCATATAGCACTAGTATAGTCATCAATTAGGGAACCTGGTATAATTAAAGAAACTCTCAATCATTAATTAACCGAAGAAGTTTCATTTTATGTTAACATTAAAGCTTTCATATGTATGTTGTTTTTAACCAAAGATGGATAGTACTAATTGCTTGCTCTAGTTCACAATTATACAAGAATCAGATCTAGGACCACATATTGCGAGGGAACTTTATATAAGGTTTCGCTTTTATTTTTTTAATTGTACGAAATATCTTTTTAGTACTATTTAATAGTAGTTCATAACATCAATAGTTATATTAGGAAAAAATTAATGCCGATATAACAAATTCATATGCTAACAAAGTATTAAATTTAATTTTGGAAAATGAGAATGATTTGATTAAAATATTATTATTTGAGAATTCTTCAGTAGCATTTTTATTTAGTTAAATTGATGGCGTGTTAAGATTAAAAGATTAAAATCAAGCTTTATAAAAGTAAATCCAGTATAAAATTTAAAAAAAAAAACCTAAAAGTTTAATTTTGTGTGTGCACTTGGATTGTAGAAACCATGAGACATGTTTTTTTTTATAAAAAAAAAAGCATATACGGCTGCAGAATTAGCCTTGATACAACATGTGGCAACATCTATAATTGAAACATTAAGTTGAAGGATTGTTCGGTTACTTATATAAAGAGAGAAGCAATCTTGTATTATGTTGAAAATAAGAAATTCATTAATATTAACAAAATATGAAAAATCAAAGAAAACAGTTACGATGATATGTATATATTTATGCTATGAATATGAATAATGGTCGTTGTTTATATAAGTTACCCCCCCAGCATAAAATTTCCAGATACGTTTATAAAGATGATTATACAAAAAACATCATTGTATACTAAAAAAAAATTAAAACAGATTTTGCTCGTGAAAATTTCTAACAACGAAAAAATTAAAATAGAAAGACGTGAAAACAATAAAAGCTTCTCATAGTAATTAATTTCATCTAGGAAAAATTGAAAGAAATTTTATCAGAAATCAATATATCAACATATAACATAAAAATAATCTAAAAAAATATACGCACCACATTATTCATAGATCATAAATAATAGTATGACTTATTGCAAAGCATTATTAACCCACATGCATCCTAAGAGAGAAAATCTGAAAGCAACATGGCCCCATTTTGGTAAGAACATGACCAAACTTTCTCACCTGTATATCAATTACTACCTTTTATCCTAATTATAAAATCTTGTTTGTAGACTACAAAAAAGGTCATATAATTAGGATCAGAGATAGTACATTTTATATTTACACTCATGCTCTTTTTCCTCTCATTTCTTTTTTTTTTGGTAAATGCAAAAGTTTAGGTAAATTGGACCCTAAAGGCTCATTAAAACCAAGACATGCATTTAGACTCAAATAACACTTATAAAGGTATTTACAGATTGCTCATTATAAGGTCTTCATAGCAACAGGATTCAAACTTACGATCTTGCGAGTTATGAACTGACTTTTTATTAACAAATCCAACTCTGATTAATTTTTTTTCCCCTTATTTCTATTCAATATATATCGATATTTCTTATCCAATCCGGACTGTGCGAAAATGTCAAACAAAGTGGGCTCTATGTATTCTAAACACTGATATATTCTTCAGAAACTGAATAGTCACTCGCACATATTCAGTATAAGTGTGCCCCTCTTAAAATAAAAACAAGATGCAATATATACATATCGTATTAAACTTTATATATATATATATATATATATATATGAGTGTAAATTTTCAAAGGTACGTAAATGGGTCCAGAGACAGTATAGCAGGTTGGGTTGTCTCGATCGCTTTTTCAAAAGAGACAGTTGGAGGCATTTAATTGATCAACGCGTCACATAGTTAAGAAGATGAATCCATTTAAGGCATTCATCAACCCTACTTGTCTTCTTCTTCTTCCCCATTCCTGTATAAATACCTTCCTCTTTCTCACCATTTTCTCCATCATCATACACTCATCGTTCTTTCTTATATAGTAGTTTTCCTCGGTATGGATTCTAGTAGGCTTCTTCTGCTTCTTCTGTTTCTTGTCGGTGCTCTTGTCTCCTCCAATGCCGCCAGGAAGCTCGTTCCCACTAATGACAAGGCCTCGTTGGAGGATCAGAAGAACTTGTTTCACCGTGGTGGTGGTGGCCTAGGAGGCGGAGGTGGTGGTGGTTTTGGTGGCGGCGGAGGAGTAGGTGGCGGTGCAGGAGCTGGATTTGGGGGAGGTGCTGGTGCAGGTGGGGGAGCTGGTGGGGACTTGGTGGCGGTGGCGGTGGCGGGTTTGGTGGCGGTGGTGGCGGTGGACTCGGAGGTGGATCTGGATTTGGAGGTGGTGCTGGATTCGGGGGTGGTGCAGGTGCGGGTGGTGGGCTTGGTGGGGGAGCTGGAGGAGGTGGTGGTGGAGGTTTTGGCGGTGGCGGTGGACTCGGAGGTGGAGCCGGAGGAGGATTTGGCGGAGGAGCTGGAGGAGGAGTTGGTGGTGGATTGCCTTGAAAACAGAACTACAAGAAGAACAAGATATAATTGACATATATAGCTCCATCTTCATGCATGTGTACCCTATAAAAGTCAAAACCAAAAGCTATCTATGTATTCTTGTGCTACGTTATAATTGTTTAACGTCCGTTTACGTGTAATTTAATCCATGTTCTCTTGTTTGTAAACTTGCAAGGATTCTAGTCCTAAATTTAATTTGTGTCCAAAATAATTAATATCAAATGAATATTTACTTCTTTCATAGCAAAATGCGATTTTATTTTTATCGTTTCCTTTGGGCATTTAGATACGAAGATCTTCTTGTTTACTTAATTTCTACTGGTATACTAATTAATGCTTACTATTTTAAGTTGTAACTGCTTCCTCTTATCATAAACAGTTAATTTCTTCTTTGGTTCTTTACTGCACATATATAGTTGACTAGATCGCAAATTAATTTTTATTGCACATTTTGAACAAAATATAATCTCTACTTTTCTGATCCTTAATATAAAACCTAATTGTTAAGTTGGTTTTGATTTTGAATATAAGACTTATTTTTCATATTTTTCAGTTTTCTCTAAATTACCCCTATAGATACTCCTTCAACTATACTCCATCCGTTCCTTATTATAAGAGACATTTGATGCTTATAGCATGTTCCTATATATAAGAGACACTTAAAAGTTGTCTTTACTTTTTTGTGTTGATTTCCTATTTTACCCATATTTATTGTCTCTAACTCACACTCTCTCTCCCTCTCCCTTCTCTTTCTTTTAATAATTTAATTGTTCTATCTTCTTATTAATAAGGGTATTTTTGGAAAAAAATATATTTTTTACACATTGATTGTTCTTAACTAATTTTAACTGTTTTTTTATCAACGTAATTTGGTTATTCGTCTCTTATAATAAGAAACGGAAGGAGTAATTAACTAGAAAAGGGAGATGGGGTATTAAGAAAGATGATTATAGTGTTTTAGAAAAAACATGTCACATTTCTTATAATTAAATACTCCTCCGGTTCTAAATATAAGACCCTTATACTAGTGTATAAGGGTCTTATATTTAGGACCGGAGGAGTAACTTATCTAACTTCCTTAATCTAATCAAATTAATTAAATGGGTCTTATATTAAAAACCAGAAGAGTACTGCAATTTCTTAATTTTAGTGGAAGTATGCATTAGGAGGCGAGAAAAAAATTAAAGAAAATCGAAGGTCGATTATTTATTGTATAAATCTATTCTTATATATGCTTTAAAAGTCCGAATATAAAAATTGGCTAAAACTTGGTCAAAGTGAAAAAAATAGCAAAAGAGCTAAAACTTATAATACTGGAATTGCATATTTGCATCCAATATATGATGTGTCATTCATTGGGACATTATAAATAGTGTTCAAAAACTTTAAATAGGACATTTAAACTAGGAATAACTAAAAATGACATGTCAAATTATATATATGCGGAATGTACAAAAGTAAAAGCATATGGGCGAATAAATTGGACTTTCCTTTCTCAGAATATATTGGGGTGTCTCAAATTATATATATTTAAGTAAACGAAATCATATATATATATATATATGTATATTATGCTCATAACGTGACACGCATAAATGAAGGAGGAGATTGGAAGTTATAGAATTATTATGAGAATGTGACATTCATCCAAAAAGGATATTAACACTAACTAAAAGAATGGGCACAGGCTGTTTTAATGCCACCAGTTTTAGTTCCCTCCCATTTTTATCCGGGGCTTGTGAGGCCAATAAATACGAATTATTCCTACATCTTCATGGTCCAAAATTAAATTAAATACGGACTAGTTTCGAGGCTCATTTTGTGGTGATGGTACTCATCGCAATGGTGCAATATGCACCAGCCACATATAGTTTTAATGATTAAAATTTAAAATTTTTAACTAATCATTCTTAAAATATAATTCTTAAAATTTCCAAAAATATTAAATATGAATCATTTATATTAAATTTGAATGATCGAAACTTGATGGGTACTATGGTGTTAATTATTACAATGAGCAACAATTCTGCTTACATTAAATACTTCCTTTCATCATTATCATAACTTATAAGGACTTCAGACATGTCTCTTAATATAACATGTCTTATTTAAAGTAATAATTTTTTTACTCAGTATCATCTAATAAATTATAAAACTTTATAACTAATCAATTTTATTCAGGATAATTATATTTTAACATTTTGCAAGAAGTAATTAATTATAATTAAATTTCTTAATTTACTTATAATTATTAATTGGCTTGGGTAAAATTACAAATACAAATGGCATGAGTGTTGTAGGAGCAATATCCGTGTTCAAAGCTATTTGTCTGCGAAATAGTTCAGGCATAAATAATAAACAGTATTTCTAAGTTGGAAATTTATTAAAAAATTTTAATGAAAAAAAGGAATTTGGATTTCTTTTCGCTCGTAAAGCTCACTCAGCCAATGAAATTCCACGAGATAACAGATCTGGTTTCTAATTGAAGAGATTTTATTTGAAACTATCTGAAATTAATATGTATTCAGAGTAATAATATTATAAGGAACCAGTTTCGGTAGTAATAAAGTTCCAATATTATAATAGTTTCAGAATAAATTTTCTTAATTTTGTCCATATTGACAGACAATTTTGAAATCCCTTGGCTTTGTATTGTCTTAGATCATGCACTCCTTGTTAGGATAGAGATATCAACGTCGGTCTCGTCATGATAAAAAATTTTAACACACAAAATTCAGCACACCAAATTAGTCAATTTATCCTCCCATGTGTATATTCCTCTCTCTGTCTCTCTCTCTCTCTCTCTATATATATAGATATATTCATATGATAATATTATCTTCAATTCTTAATATAAGAGTTACATAACTAATTAGGGATATTAAGAAACTTAGTTAAGTTGGTTATTTGTCACAAATATATGTTGATCTTCCTAGACTATCCTCTTGTCATGTGCATTGGATGATTAAAACTAGAATTATCAATTATTTCTTGGTTGGAATCCTTTGCAGTCAATACTGTTATTTTGGGAAAAAATAAGAGACAAAGTGAATTGATATCTTATATTTAAGATTAAATCTAATTTTTAACTAAGTCTTATATTAAAAACCGGATGTAACACAGATTAAAGTAGGGTTGGCTTCCTCTCTAATAATAGGTTAGGCTTAGCAAAACTTAAGCCGCAATAAAGAGCTTAGATCACCCTATCGCAAAACCTTGCTTTGCATTCTCTATGAGACCTTTTCTTGTCGAGCCATAACATTAAAACCATATTTTGCTGTCAAAATTTGAAGTGACGCACGGAAGAAACAAAAAAGGTGAAAACGAGCACAGATTAGTGCATATACCTAGTTAATTGTATTGGGTTGGGAAGAATCAATACTCTGCCCAATTCTCCATCCTAAGTGATTGATTCATGTCGAGCTAAATGATTCATTATATTGGTCTGAATATAACTACCTCCCTTACTGCTCGAGAGATTAGTTTTCGTCTTAAACATAAAATTTTAATCAGTGGTCTTTCAAATTTATAATTATTTTTTAAAATTATTTGTATTGATTACATATGTTAAAAGATTAATTTTCATCTGTCAATCACGTAGTTTTCAAAACATGTGATTGAAGAAAGTATGTTATAAAAATCAACAGATTTTTTTTTAACAAATAACCAACTTAAAATTTTTCTTAATTTTTATAAATCAGTTATCTAACTCTTACATAAAAGATTATTAGAAGAAGTACAAACATATCATTATATATATATATATGATATATGTGTTCATTTTTAAAATATTAGTGTATTTACATTTGTTTGGTATGAACATTATCGACCGAAGTAATTAACCCTGCAAAAATGCCAAACAAAGCGTCTCTGTGTGTCTTTTAAACATTGATATATTATTTTGAAACCGAACAGTCACTCACAGATACGGAGCCCCTTTTCTAATAAAAAGGGACACAATATATATATATATATCTTCAATTAAACTTTGTGTGTGTATTATGCATTTGGTATTGTGTTTTCTATAAATAGCTTCCACTGTCTCACCATCTTGTCTTGTCTTTTTCTTCGCCATTGCTGTATATAAATAGCTTCCAAACTTTCTCGCCATCTTCATCTATCACACAATCATCATATTTCTCAAAGTTTTCTTTGACATGGGTTCCACTAGGCTTCTTCTTCTTGGTGCTCTAGCTTGTCTCCTCCAATGGCATCAAGAACCTCGTTCTGACCGATGACAAGGGCTCATTTGAGAATCAGAAGAACTCGTTAACATTTCATAATCGTTTAAGTATTGATCCGAGTAGTGTGCCTGCAAATGACAATTTTCAGGCTGGTGTTGGTATTGGATTTGGAGGCCGAATTCACAGCGGCTTTGACGGCACCGAATTCGGATTTCCATCTCCAATAACTATCTCTTGAATAAGATAGTCTCCAATAAGATGATAATAATAATTTAAAAAAAAAAAACTAAAGTTCCGTCTTCATATACGTGCACCCTAACTAAGAAAACCAAAAGGCTATCTAAATATTAATCATATATTGTGCTTCACTATAATAATTAACGTTTATTTTGTGTATGTGTAATGCAATGTGCCCATGTTTGTAAACTTCAAGTACTCTAATCCCAAATTTAATCTGCGTCCAAAGTAATTAATATGAAATGAAGATATACTTCTTTCATAGCAAAATAAGATTTTTGTTGTTGTTTTCTTTGGGCATTTAAATAAGATCTCCTTGTTTACTTAATTTCTACTGATGATTAATGTTTATGTTTAACGTGTAACTGCTGCGGTGTTTTCCTCGTATTCTTTGTTTTTTTTTTTTTGGTTGCCAAAAGTTGCTGCAAATATTTTAAACTTTAAAGTATGGTACTAAGTTGTTTTGCCTTCTCTAAACAAGTATACCAAAAGAGAAAGCTACGTCGTATTCTTGTCCTTAATATAAGAGTTAGTTTGATTTTTAATTTGATTCTAAATATAAGATCTCAATTTATTTTATCTCTCACATTTATTTATTTTTTCAAATGTATTCCTTATAGTAGTTGTACATGTTAAATATTTCATCAAATAGTAATTCTAGCTATTTTAAACTAACTTAACTGAATTTTTTAATCTACTGAAATTAATCAATTAGTTTTTATATTAATGATCGGATGTAGTACTATATGGTTCTATAATGACGGTTTGCATATACTCTTCTTATTCTATCTATACATAAGACAAAGAGAAAAATAATTTTTTATCCTATTTATAAGTTATATCATTAATTTTTTATATGGTTGTATAATTTCAACATTCATTTATTATTGTATTGACTTTAATTTATTCTCACAAGATATAATTTTAATATATTAACTAGGAATAAAGTTGAAAAGTAGTTAAATTTCAGGACAAATGAAGTTTAATTTTTTGTCTGAGTGAAAAATGTTAAAAGTGACTTATAAATACTATATCTAGTCCTTAATATAAGAGCTAGTTGACTAATTTAAGTAGATTAAGAAAATTAATTAAATTAGTTATTTGTACTAAATATGTGTTGTCTTTTTTAAAATATTCTTGCTAATCAAGTGTATTAGAACTACTATTATTACAAGGACTACTTTGATGGGGGAAAAGAATAAATATGAGAAATAAAATAGATTGAGATTTTATATTTAAGACCAAAATAAAAGTCAAACTAGCTTTTATATTAAGCAAAGGAACTAATATATGATCAGTGGAATATGTATTAGTAGCCTTCTAGTTTGATGACACAATGATCAACACCCTCATTAATACTAGGTTCCAGGTTTGATCCCGTCAGACAACTCCAGGGGTAAAGCTTGCTTTGTGACATTTCAAAAAAAAAAAAAAAAAGAATGCTTTGTAATTAACAATAAAAATAAAGAGGGTATGCTGGGGAGCAATACAACCGTATGTACAATACATTTAATATTTCAAAACGTGTTTCTTGATAAATACAAAAAGCATTATTGAAGATAAAATGCAAAGGGCATTATTCCAAATATGTACGAGACTTTTTCATGTTTTGTGTCATAAAAACCAAAAGGATGTTATTAAGCTTGAAGTGATGAACACCACAGGTTGTTAGATATACATCCATGAGTATATGAGTTAGGATGTATATATACTCTACTCAGTTCTCCAGCCTAAGTGATCGAGTAACGTCTCATTAAATATATGAGCTAAGAGGAATATTTGATTTGTTTATAAATATAAAATATCAATTAACTATGTCTCTTAAATTTATAATTATTTTTTAAATTGTCTTTATTAATTGCACGGAGGGTTTCCATTAATGAAGTACTACCTCCGGTCATTAATATAAGACCCTGTTTGACTTTTAATTTGGTCCTAAATATAAGTCCCCAATCCATTTTGTCTCTTATATTTATATATATTTTTTTCAAAGTAATCATTCTAACAACAATAGTTCTAATCAATGCACTTGATTAGTAAGGATATTTTAGAAAAGATAACACCTATTTAGGATAAATAACTAACTCAACTTACTTCATTAATTTACTTAAATTAGTCAACTGACTCTTATAATTAGGACCGGAGATAGTACTTTTAATGGAAGGGGCATGTTATAAAAACCAACATATTTTTTAGCAAATAACTAACCAAACAAATTTTCTTAATCTCTAAAAACTAATTAATATCAAACCCTTAGTTTAGAATTAAATGAAATGTACACATATCATATCATATCATATCATATCGTATGTGTCTGTGTGAACATTATTGCATTATAAAGGAAAACTATCGAATGCGTCTAATTTTTCGCTTCCTCAAATTAATGATGTGACGGATGCCAACTGGGATTTTTTTTAAAAAAAATGAAAATAAAAAAATGAAAATAAAAAGGCATTATTGTAAGCACAAGGACCTAAGTCAAAGCATTAAAAAAAAAAAATGAAGGGAGAACAATAATAATAATATGTAAGAAATGATGGGGTCAAAAGCTATATAAGAGCCTAATTGCATGGCGACATCGTAGTACTTTGAATTGCAAGCTTCGAAAGCTCATATTCACATAATGGACACGTGGATGATGAAGGGCCTTCATAATTCATTCATTCTTGAGGCTTAGTTAACTTAATTAATTTTGGTAAAATGAATAAATTTGAGGCCATAAGCTTAGAAGCCAAGCTTTCCGTTTTTGTTTTGCGTGCTTCTTCTTCAGATTACGCCATGATTTCATATTATGGGCTCTCTCTTTTGCTTTGCTTTGCTTCTCCTAATGAGGTGCCTCATTTCTCTCAGGTCGGCCACTGCGTTTTCATCATCATTCGCCAACCAATCGCGTGCCATGTGATTCACATCCTCAGATGCCATTTATGCCCTTCCCATATGAATTCATTAACTACAACATATTTTTTGTTAAATAAATCATGGCATTGTTTCATTAATTCGAAGATAATAATTACGTTGGACATCTACGTTATTAACACATGTTGTGACTATAAACATCGGATTAAATGAGTATTCAATAAGTATTGTGAATACTAAATCGGAAGATGATTTTTCCTATACACATTATGTTTGTATGTTGATTCAACAATCATTATTATCATCACCATCATTCACTAGGAGGAATTCAGACAACTCATTATATGGATAGAGGATTGAACCCGTAACCTCACAGTTAATAAAAACTTACTACCTTTGGGGGGAAAAACTTACTACCTATGTTTTTAATATAAGAGTTAGTTTGACATTTAATTTAATGCTAAATATAAGACCTCTAATTTTTTTCTAAGGTAATCCTTATAGTGGTTGCACATGTTAAATGTTTTATTAAATGATAATTCTAGTTGATACACATAATTAGTAAGAGCATTTTAGAAAAAATAATATTTATTTATTACAAATAACTAATTTAACTAATTTTTTTAATTTACTCAAGTTAATCAACTAACTCTTATATTAAGCACCAATGGTAGTATTAAGGAGGTGTTTGATGTCAGTAGTAGAAAGCCCTACGTATTATATTTGTGTATATATATTGTGAGATGATTAATATATACCTCTTTCGGTCTTAAATATGAGAACTAGTTAAGAGTCCTAAATATAAGATCTTAATTCATTTTGTCCCCCAAGTTTATGTGTTTTCAAAAACATCTTATTGATTGTAAGTTATTTCCATCCAAATATAATTTCAATACACATGATTGAATAAGTGTAATTTAGTAAAGTTACCACACATTTATTACAAATAACTAGCTTAATTAATTTTCTTAATCTCTTCAAATTAATTGTCTAGCTTTTATATTAAGGACTGTGTAGTATATGTGTGTGTGTGGATTTAAGAATTGTGGTACTCTTAGGCTTCAGTGAACTCAAAAAGAAGTCTTTTCTTTTCACTAAACTTAATTATCATTGATCAATTCTAATTCAATAATTATGATAAATTAATGGTATGACAAACTACATGCGTCCTGTCAAAATTAGGGGGAAAAAAAGAGTTCCAAAATATATAGCAACGTATACGAGGGGTAAAATAGACTCTAACAAATGACACATAATGGACTGCTTAACATAGAACTGGTTTTTATTCGAAGCCACAGGCACAGCTCATAGAACTGAAATAAGTTTCTTAATCTTGCAAACTAATTAAACAGTGAATATACTATATAGAATCTTGCATTATTAATTCCCATCACACTACTCTTCCTCGTGCATCCCCCTCTCATCCCCCCTTTTCCCCTTCTTTCTCGCGTCAACCTTTCTCCTTCTTCCTTATAAACCCTAACTCTTTCCCTTCCTTTTCTACCCACACCCAAACACACTCACATCTCCCCCCCTCCCTCTCTCTCTCTCTCTCTTCTTCTTCTTCTCCTTCTTCTTCATCTTCCTCTCCCTTTCAACCTGAATAATATTGATCATTCCTTTTCTTTCTATCTCTCTCTGACTCGCTCTCGAATCATAACTCGAGAGCAAAGCCATGGCGTTCTTGAAAGGACTCATGCTCTTCATGGTGGCCTTGACCATGGCTTTGGCTTTGTCCGTCACTCTCACCATGAACGGCATCACCCAGCAAGACCATGGCCCTACCATCAGTGACAACAAAATGGACGACAAAGCCTTGCCTTCCAAGAGGGTAAGCCGGTTCCTGGCGACGAACAACGACGTCACGGTGCGAAACCCTAACGCCGCCGATCACTGTCACAAGGACCATGAGGTTTGTTACTTGTTAGAAGGCAAAAACTCAACTTGCTGCAACAATAAGTGTGTGGATCTGCACTACGATAATAAGAACTGTGGAGCCTGCAAGAACAAATGCAAGTTTACCCAGACTTGTTGCAGAGGACAATGTGTTGAATTGGCTTTTGATAAGAGGCATTGTGGAGCTTGCAACCACAGGTGTGAGAAAGGTGAATTCTGTGTCTATGGAATGTGCAATTATGCTTAATTAGTCATGGAAGAGGAGGAGGAGGAAGAGGTTCGTCATAATTATTAATTAATTTTAATTGTTTCGTGATTTATATACATATACAATAAAGGAATAAGCCACATTTTGGTGTGGTTAATTGATTAAAAGTCTCATATATATACGTGCTTTTGCTTTTCTAAACAACAATAATACTATTGGAATTTCTAATGATATGTCATATGTGTCATGTCTATTTTTAATTTATATGTATCAATGATATTGAAAGATGGGCCCGTGATTCTTTTTTCTGATGTTTACCAGTTCGGTTTTGTTTAATTGAGGCTAGATGTATATTTCTGTTTCATTTTTCATTTGTATTGTATATGTAAGGAATTTATGATTTGATTATTATAAACTTGCAATTTTCTGATTCAAGTTCGATGGTCATCAGAAATAAGCCTCAGTTTCTGTTTAATTATTATATATGTAAGAATTTTAGTTTTTTTTAAAAAGAACTATATGAACTAATTTCTGAAAAGTCTATTTAAATATATGTGAAAGAAGATTACGTTAATTAATAGTAGTAGGTATACTTTTGAGGCTAAATAAAATAAAATAATAATAGTATACTTTTTACTTGCACAAGCAAAAGCCAGATTCATTCGTGGCGGCTGCATTAAAATGTTACTGAACAATTAAGTAATCCCATAACTTGTCATAGCAAAAAGGAGCTAATTAAAGGGTTTGGTCAAAAAAAAAAAAGAACAAAAAGAAAACAGCTCAAGGGATTTTCCTGGGAATCTGCTAATCACAATCACATGCAGCTTACAGAAAAACGGTTCAATTTTTCCTGCAAAATGGGGTCTCTCACATGCGTCTATCACTTGTCGATCAAGGGAGACTATATGTGTAGCCAGATCGGTTTGATCATATTTTAAGATAAAAAATATTATTTATCCCAATATAAGAAAATTGTTTCGCAAATTTATAAGTGAAATTAATTGGTATCCTCCATTGTTCATTTATTTTTAATAATAAATCAATTTATGATGAATCGGGTGTGTCTTTTCGACAAGTGGGTAATCTTAAATTTATTGGATATATATATTAAATATGTCTAATTAATTGACTAACCAAAGTAAACCCAACTTGATTTGACCTTTTCTTCGGTGATCCAAGAATATATTGAAAGTAAATTTCTGACCCCTTGATTGACAAAAGAGACAATGGAAAACCCCACGAGCTATTAGTGGAGCAGTATTATTTTATAAGAAAAACAATACAAATTCAAATCTTAAAAAAATTTATTAGAAAAGTAAAACTCTTTACGTTCTAAGCGTCAAAAAGAAAGAACATTGATCACATTAAAAAATAGAAAGACAATGGAAAAGAGACTATTTTCTTCTAAAAAGTACATGATAAAAACTAAATATGAAGCTGTCCGTAGATAATTAATCTCTGGCATATTGCATGCTATAAATATGCAAGCAAATAAAAAGTATATATACTACCTCTTGTCCTTAATATATAAAGCTAACTAGTTGATTAATTTAAATATATTAAGAAAATTTGTTAAGTTAGTTATTTGTAATAAATAAGTGTTATTTTTTTCTAGAATACCTTTGCTAATCATGTGTATTAAAATTAAAACTACCATTTGATGAAACGTTTTAACATGTGCAATTATACAGACTACTTTGAAAAAATTGATAGACATAAGAGACAAATATATTAGGATCTTATATTTATGATTAAATTAACTGTCAAACTTCCGGTAAAAAAAGAACTGTTAAACTAATATTGTATTAAGTATCAAAGTTAGTATTGAAAAAAGTTGAACCTTTAATCCAATCCATATGCGATCATGATCACCTTGCTCTTATTGCCTGAGTTAAATGCTTGTTTGGGGCCACTATTAGGATCTGCATATATTCATGTAATAATTTGAAGCAAAACTCCTCTTATATACTTTTTATTTTTTAAAATCATGTTTAAAAAATATATTTATGATTAAATTAACTGTCAAACTTCTGGTAAAAAAAAAAAACTGTTAAACTAAATCTTGTATTAAGTATCAAAGGTAGTATTAAAAAAAGTTGAACCTTTAATCCAATCCATATGCAATCATGATCACCTTGCTTTTATTGCCTGAGTTAATGCTTGTTTGGGGCCACTATTAGGATCTGCATATATTCATGTAATAATTGAAGCAAAACTTCTTTATATATTTTTTATTTTTTAAATCATGGTTAAAAAATTGTTTTTTAAAAAATATACCACTGTTCCAAACAAATCCTTAATTTTATTAGTGATCAACATTAATTGATAAACCTCCTAAGAAAAATTGCTTCTAAATTAAGGTTTTCTGCATTAATTGCTTTTGTTACTTGATCCCATTTTATCTTGCTTCAAGTTCTCTCCTTTTTCTTTTTCCCCTTTTCTTCTTAAAATCACATATCTACTATTAGATTAAAGAAATATTATATGATTCAGATTTATAAATTGCCCTTGTTTAATGTTAGTTATTTTTTTTATGATTGATTTTTTTGTCTTCTTAAAGGATATGTTTAATAAGGGCAATGTTGAAAACTTTGCTAAGTATCTCCTTAATTTCGATCAAAATGCTTGAAAGTGATTTATAATATGCAAATACTCCTCCGGTCCTTATTATAAGACCCAATTTGACTTTTTATTTGGTCCTAATTATAAGACCCAATCCATTTTGTTTCTTATTTATATATTTTTTCCAAGATAATCCTTCTAATAATGATAGTTTTAGCCAATATACTTAATTAACAAGGATATTTTAGGAATGACAACACTTATTTATTATAAATAACCAACTTAACTTACTTCCTTAATCTCCTCAAATAAGTCAATTGGGTCTTATAATTAGGACCGGAGGAGTACTTATAATCATTAAAATTGAATATGAACATTGATCAGAGCTCAAACTCTCTTTTGATATTATAAATAAAAGTACGCAAAAATTTTTTTTTTTTTTAAGCAGTAGTGACAGAAGTATAATGAAAGGAAACTAAGGGGATTGCAGCTATATTAAAAACAAGAGAGAATATTTTATATAAAGTCAGCGTGGGAAGTTGTTAAAGTGGAATTTGTGTACTTGTGAGTTGTGAGTTTACCCAAACCAATGTCCAGCAACTCTCGAAGTTGACACTTCTATGTGGAAGTGACACCTTTCATTTGAGTAAGAAAAGAAATTTACACACATATAATATTCATAAAGAATCGAATTCACAACTTAACAATACTGGCGTTTAATATTATTGAATTGGAAGACACCAACCTAAAAAATAATTATATATATAGTTGCCCCTTGAAAGGCCAATTTAATTATAATTTCCCAACTTTTAATCATGAAAGACCAGCTTGAAAAATATAAATAAATAAAATCGTCTTAAATTCTGCATAAAAATATGGGCTCTTGTATAACCTTTTTCTCACACAGAATTTAACTTTTTCCCCTCATATGGCTTGTGGAAACCTAAAGAAAGGTTTGGTTAAATGATAAATATAGTTCTTCTTGTTATTTTAAATAATCACAATCTAATTAATTTTAAATATTTCTTCTTGCACCATTTTGCCTTTCATGTCTCATTCAATTCAAATAAATTACTAAAAAAAATTATTGGCTTCAAAAATTTTTAGCCAAAAAGCCATAAATTTTTCTGAACTTTTTTTAAGGGATATTTTTTTTTATTAGAGGCAATTATGTTTAAGAGTCAATTGAGTATTAAACGTGGACACCTGTCTGCTTTACGCCCATTTTTGCAAATCATTGTACTTTTGGCCCAAAACTAACCTAAGCCCATATAGCCCAAACCAACGAGCAGCTTCTTAATTTCTTCAGGCCCAACAACACACTCTCGTCCGTGTCATCACGCGCATGTAAAGCACGTGGCACCATGTTCTTTGAAACCGCCGAGGTATGCGTATTTCACTTATTTTGATTTTGATTCCTGCTTAGAATAAGAGCGATCGAAGGATAGGGAAGGCAAGGAAATTTGCAGATTCTCAATGGCAAATTTGCCCCAGTCGCTCTCCATGAATGCGCCGTTCGGAGCTCCAGGTGCCTCCGCCCAGAACGCCGCCGCTACTCAGGTCAACAAGGAACGTAAGCTGGCGTCCGCAGAACACCTTGTTCTTGAACTGAGCAACCCCGATCTCCGAGAAAATGCGCTTCTGGAACTCTCCAAGGTAGCCACTCTCCTTTCGTGTGCTAAATTAAATTTTTTTTTTGGGGGCTAATCCTGATTAGAGGCTGGTATTCTTGTCACGGTGACCGCGAGGCCAAATGATAAAGTAATAATGGTGATCATTGCGATTTTATAGATATAAGCTAATTGGGGATGTTTGAATTTTGTGTTCTTATTTCTTTCATTATTTTGTTCTCTCCGGGTGAAGTTGCTTCATTGGGCTGAGACCCCTGTTCTTTGAAAATTACACCCAGATTTTACTAGTGATTAGGGTTCTTCAGGAAGGGCTTTTATGCAAACTGAGATTGAATATTTTTTTGTTGTTATTTTTTTGGCTTTTGCTTCTGATCAGTCATTTTATGAAAAATAATAGCTGTTAACTTGTAAAGGAGTTCCGGTAATTTTCAGACAGTCTAAAGCTGTTGTATCAGTCTAAATCTCTTTAACCTGTGTTTAAGTGTTAAAGCTCTCTTTCTTGTATCCTAGTTTATCTTTATTCCCTTTGAAGTGGTAATGCAGCAGTCCTCATAGTTACTGACGGAGAAAGGAAAGTAATTTATTTTATTTGTATATAGAGGCGAAAGCAATCTCCCATGACCTGTTTAACTCATCACTTTGGATTTATCTAGCATCTCCAGATATTGTGAAAAATTTTCTGAATGTCACACTTTTGGTACTGTTTTTTGGCTGCCAAAATTTGTACAGAACAGTGTGCTGCAAGACACAATAATGCACTACGCAGCCATTTAAATGTTTTTACTGCTGCTGCTTTCGCACAATAATCTCATTAATTTTTTCTCCATCATCTATTTTAGAAACGAGAGTTGTTTCAAGATCTTGCTCCATTACTTTGGAATTCTTTTGGTACTATTGCAGCACTTTTACAGGTATGCTATTTTATTCGCATTAAATATTCTTTTTCTATTAGCTTATGTGCATCAATCCTTCTTCTAAATCTCTACTTGCTTTGATCTAATAGCTTTTGAGCTTGCCAAAAATTCTCTCCTCTGATGATGTTTACTTTTTAGTCTTTTCTTTTATGCGCATCTTGTACGGCATGCTTCCACCATTTTATTTTCATAATTTGAGCAAAGTGATTGTGAATGATCAAATGAGTGATTGAATGATGGTAAAAAAAGCGTGATTTTGTGTTGAACTTAACATGGTCTTTTCTAAATGTACTCAAAATTGGCAAAAATACTTGTTATGGTGCTGTTAGCAATGTTATGACAGCTAGTAACTTCAAAACGCTGTTGTTGGCTTACTTTCTAAATTGACCTCAGAAATTTTCCACATTCCGTTTGTACTCTGGGTGCTTGATGGTATTGTCAAAGATACTCGTACTTTATATTATTGCTTGGTTATCAAGCACTTCAGTTTATTCATTGTTATTGAATGGCTGGGTGCCTATTGTTTTACCTCCACTTGCCAGGATTTGACTATTTTTATTGCAGGAAATAGTTTCAATATACCCTGTTCTTTCACCACCAAATCTTACCCCAGCACAATCAAACCGCGTGTGCAATGCTCTTGCTCTTCTTCAGGTCAGATGTTTTTGTCTTTTCAACTTTAGTATCCTGTGTTATGTGTTTTACTGTAACATTCAGATGATGCCCTGAAAATAGTAAATATTTTCATTTTTCTATTTCTAGCACTGATTTAGGAATGAACTGTGACTCTAACTATGCTGCACCTCATTCAATAGCCATGTGATTTATTATTTTGTGATTCGAGACATTATCTTCCAAAGTTGAGAAGAAAATACTAAAGCGTTGTGTTATGATGTTTTTCTTGCAGTGTGTGGCTTCTCATCCAGATACGAGGATGCTATTCCTCAATGGTAACGTTAATTTTCCCAGTCATGTGAAGCATTTTTAACTTGCTATCATTGTTGCACTATTCATCTTGGCATGATATCTTCCTGGAACCTAAAAACTATTGTCAATAGGTAAAATGAATCTTGTAAACTAATCATAATCGCAACTGATGCACCCTGCACTTGCTTTTCCCATCATTGAAGCTCTTTACTTTCAGAACCCTCTATTTCTGTTTTCTTGCTTTCAAAGGAGTTGCTTCGCCCAGTCATGATATCTGATTTCCTTTTCTGTCATACCCTTTTTCCAGGCTGTTGGGCCTTTAACTTACAATACTTAATACTTTACCAAGCACCTGTAGCCTGAAGTTTTGGGTCAAACTGAAGGCATTACTTTAATATATGTATGAATATTTGGGAGAATGGGATTACTATGTGTCTCTGTATGATTTTTCTCATTGAAAGATGAGATTTTTTTTGTCTTGGTGTGTTTACCATTCACGTGCTTAGCCTGTTTAATTATTTGCACTTATCTTCTCTCTTCTACAGCTCATATACCTCTATATCTATATCCCTTCCTTAATACAACAAGCAAGTCGAGACCATTTGAGTATTTGAGGCTTACTAGTCTTGGTGTCATTGGTGCCTTGGTGAAGGTAATTCATTCTTGATAATTATCATGTTGTATGTACTTTGTCGCACAATAGGTTAATTTACATTTGAAAATGCAAATTTGCAATTATGCAAAATAGTCTTTAATAGCGGGGAACCATTCTCACAGACTTGACTTGTTTTCATATGTATTCATATTCTCGGGATTGAACTGAAGTTCTAGACAACTCTTTTTTCACACTTGCTGACAATATTGTCTTTGTGGAATTAAGATTTTTCTCTTGTCGACTATTGTAATAACCTTTTGTTTGTTATTTAATCTTCAGGTTGATGATACAGAAGTTATAAGCTTCCTTCTTTCAACAGAGATAATTCCTCTCTGCCTGCGCACCATGGAAATGGGCAGTGAATTGTCAAAAACAGTTTAGTTCACTGAATCTTGCTTTTGGGCGCAAGGACCATTCATGTTCCTTGAGCTGATCAATGACATAGATTCTCAGTTATCTGATTTATGAATGATGTGATACTGTAACTCGTCAATGTTGCACTTGGAATATTTGATGTTTTGTAAATGACATTATATATGATTGTCTGATTCTCAAATGAGCTATATTTTATTGGCAGGTTGCGACATTTATAGTCCAGAAGATTCTATTGGATGATGTGGGATTGGATTATATTTGTACTACAGCAGAGCGGTTTTTTGCGGTAGGTAGAGTTTTGGCAAGCATGGTGCAAGCTCTTGCTGAGCAACCATCGTCTCGTCTGTTGAAACATATCATTAGATGTTACCTCCGCCTGTCAGATAATCCGAGGTTGGTTTGATAGATTGAAACTCCTCTTTTAAGAGCTGGTTACTCTTAACTCACGTTCCTTATGCCACTCCCTTTCTTTCTCTTCTAAGTTACTTTCTCTTACCTGGGATCAGGGCTTGTGATGCATTACGAAGTTGTCTGCCAGATATGTTGAGAGATGCTACTTTCAGTAGCTGCCTCCGGGTGCGTACTTTCCAACATGCTCATGAATATTTATTCTATTAATAAAGCCAAGACAAGCATTTTGATCGAACTTCACCCTTTGCTGCTGAGTAATTGCAGCTTAAGATTTTCCATTTGCTCATATAAAGTGATTAATGTTTTTAAGTTTGAATTCATTTGACGTCTCTTGATCATATGCAGGAAGACCCAACAACCAGAAGGTGGCTGCAACAATTGCTTATGAATGTTGGAATGAATCGGGTTCCTGCTGCACTGCAAGCTGGAGCTGGTTTCGAACATATGATGGTGTCATAATTATAAGGTTTAAGTGGTCATCTGTTTTTTCGTCATGTGATGCTGGTGTCAGAATTATAGGGTTTTCGGTTGCTTCACCCTTGTTTTTCACCAAAAGATGAAAAGGAGAAAAAAAGAAAAAAAAAGAGGGAAGGTTTTCTCTTCGATGCTGGGCTTTTTATCTACCTGGTCCAGTCATGAGTAGTCACATTTTCTGTTTCCATCTCAAGCATTTTATTTCAGATAAATTAGTTGTAATTATTGGTAACTTGTGCCGAGTGATGTAAGATGTTGTTTTATGTAGCTAATTATATGGTTCTTTGATCCAATTATTCTCAGAGAACGCTGTGTTATCAACTCGGAAAAATTCTTATACAAGTTATGGATAAGTTAAATTATGAATTGAAGTACAAACATATTTGTAGATCAATAATATTATGAATTGACTCCCAACAATAACAATTTTATGCGAAAACATCTAGATACACATAATATAGCACTAATGTTACATTTGAGATTAAAGCGGTTTAGTGTTGAAATCGGTTAGGTCACACTAGTTTTGCTAAAAATAGTTATTTGACCATACAGACTCAATCAAAAAGGGAAAAAAAAAAGTGTTTTCTTTTTCGGTTCGACAAACTGACTCAATCTAAATTCAAAACCACGATATTGAATTCTTTTCATTTCTTCAAGAATGAGATTAATAATATAAAGCAAAAATCTTGAACGGTCCCCAATTTTCAGTTGCCAACCCTCCAAAATACCCCCACAAAGGAAAGAAAAAAAAAAGAATAGATCAGATTTATCTGTTTCATTGGTGGGGTAATGGAGCCAAGCACAAATATTCCCTTGATGCGAGTGGAATATTCTCTGCGATACACCACTCAGTGCAGTCCTTATCAACCTCTTCTGCAACATTCATGTTCCAAAAAACCAGAACTGTTTGTCTCTCTTACATTTTACCACAAACAAGTTAATATGTTTCAGTGATACATACATATATATATATATATATATATATAATCTCTCTCCGAATTGTTTGTAAATCACGAACCATGCGACTTATTTTTACAGACTCAGTCTCATACATGTTAAAATACACCTAATTGCTTCTAATAATATAAATATCATGTCTAATATCTTCTCAACATGCTTGTGGAAGTTTCTATCACTCTTATTTCAGTGGTCTCTTTTTTTTCTTGGTATAATTCAGTATTTTCAAGTCACTTTGAACTTGAAACTAATCTCTATTGGACCGAAAGTATTAAGATTAAAGCACTCTCAACAAGTTTATTTTTTGAGACTCAAACTTGTATTCTTCTTACGGGATTAAGACCGTTCATAATATCAACTAACAGTTTGTTGCTTACTCTTAGTGGTCTTTGCCTTAGTGGTTTTTTCCATTTCGGATATACGTCCCTTTCTCTTTGCCTATATGGTTCTTGGAGCGTGGGTGAGTATGCTTCACTTATTTTGCCTGTGGATTTCAAGATATCAAAACTGGGACCAGATCATGTTATCTTGTTAGGTAAAGATTCTCTCCCTGGCCCCTGCTTAGGTTGAGACAGCAAGAATTATACGAGTCATATACACACGCACAAACTACCTCCTTTGTTAATATAAAACTCGATTACCTAATTTAGAAAGATTAAAATTAATTTATTTAACTTATAAATTGATATATAATTTAATGATACACATAAGTATTTTAGAGAGATTATGTAACATATACTATAATTAAGTAATTTAATAACTTTTTTAATCTTTTCAAATTAGTTAATTGGGTATTATATTAAGTAGCGGAGGTAGTATAAATATATTTGAATGAATGCGACGTGTTACCGACTGGTGTATAGTCAATACTAGTAATAATCTCTGTCAAATCAGACACTTTCCATCTTTTTTCTCCGTTCGCAACTGTGTTTGCTCCACCAATGCATAAAGGAAAGACAATAATAATTTCTTCGCCTTGTTTTTCTTTTTCTCCTTGCAAAATGATCATTTCATTTCATCCATGAAATTTTTCTAACATGCAACTTAAGTACTCCTCAGAGAAAGCAAGTGTTTCTAATAATTGACAATCTTAGTAACTCCACAGAAATACATAGGGTACACCAAAAGCCTCTTTAGAGGAGCTGACAGAATGATGCTGCTAAAAAGCAAGCTGATCTGACCCCCACAATATGAAATTAAAATCTGTACAGACCCAATGAAAGCAAAATTAAAGAAAAACAACAGAAAAGCATGAAATTATAAAACAAAAAAGACCCTTGTTTTGATCTTCAAAAGGTGATTTTATTATCAACTTGGTACTCTGCAAAAGTGTTCTATCACTGCAGTATCTGAGGATGATTTTGTTCTGGATTTATCATGCTCAGGCACAAGAATAATACCACACTAAAACTATACTCATAGGATCTTCCAAAGATTAATCTCTCTGCATCTTTAACTGCTTATAGAAGTTCCTAATGAAGGCATCAGCTTTTGCAAACAGCTCTTGGCCACTGATTCCTCCAACCTCTTCTTCTTCTTCAACCTCCTCCTCCTCCATGGTTCCTGCTTCTCCTAACAATAAAAGGCTCGGCATTGAAGCACTCTTCTTCACCTTCTCAAACTTTTCAAAAACAATCTTATTATTTGGCTTCTTTCTTTCACTAAATTCTGAAAAAGAAGCACTTCCACTTCCACTGGCCGAGGCGGAACTTTCCTTTTTCTCAGGAATGGATGCAACAGAAGCAGAAAATTTCTTGTCTTCAGATGAAGAAGAAGGCCTCGGAAAAGCTGAAAGAAAACCCGCTTCAGCTCCAAGTGAAATGATGAGGAGGTTGACGATGAAGTAAAGGAAGGTAGGCTTTATAGAGGAAGGCAAAAAGGGTGTGATGGAGAGAAGAAGAGCCAGCACAAGCAGCATCAGAACTTGGTACTTGTTAAACTTTGCCATGGCTTCTGGTGTGATGAGAAATATCAGAAAGATCAACAAGATGTAGTGGTGGTGGTGGTAGGAAGTAATAGAAATAAGAGTGAGGTTCTGGGGACACACCCACATATTTATATACAGAAGAGACCTCAAACTTTTAATGTGGAAATGTTGACCAAGTCAATCATCATAAACAAGATGATGACCCTAACCAATAGGGAAAGGAAGGCGACAAGAGGAGGAAGCAAGAGGGAAAGTAATAGACTAGGATCCCACTTCTTGCACTGTCATTTTATTTTTGGGATAAGAATAAAATAGATTGAGATAATAATCTAGAAGAGTTGATGTGAAACGGAAGGGAAAGCAGGAAATTGAAAAGAAAATGAGAGAAATGAGAGGGAAAAAAAGACACTGAGAAAAGGAAGCCGACAGAAGAAAACAACATGTCAAATATGAAGTTTGTCGTAAAATGAAATCCAAAAAAAGCATGTATCTTAAACTAATTACAAAAATTAAAAATAATAAATGAGATCTCAAAATAAGGAGCAGGGTTAAGGTAACTGCCCACTAACTACAAGATAATTAATAATTAATCGATAAAAGTAAAAAATCAAATTAAAGTAAACTACACCCTAAATATCTCCCTAATTATGTGCATCAAGAGTGCTGAGTATTAGCACAGTAAAATGACACGATAATGACTGTGAATGCTTGGCAAGTCGAAAAATTAAACTATCCATAAGGGAAGCAAAGTGGACAACAGAACATGGAAGCAAGAGGGAATGTCGTGGACTGGATACAGCTTCTTGTACTATCAATTCCTTTTTTTTTTTAATATATTGAGAGATTTTCTGTAATAATGATACAGAGGAGTGATTAAAAAGTAAAAACTATAGATATATATATATATATATATCATATATGCATGTATGTATGTGTATGTAATTTCTTTACTCTCATGGCACTCTTCCCTTTTTTTTTTTTGTGGTTTCGATTTAGATAGATGTAATGCATTGATTTTCTAAACATATCTATTTAGAAAATATATTTTTAAAAACAAAGACAAAAATAGACCTTTTTTTTTAATTTCTGCTTTTTAATGAAGACGACGAAAAATTTATCTGAATGTTATTGGACGCTGCTTGATAAGGTCGGTGAAAGTATACTCCCATTTTCCACTAAAGTCCACCCACCTTCTATTTTTACGGTCATTTTTTTTTTTTAATTTTTGATGAAGGGTTTTCCGAGACTCAGAGCAGTTTTTGCCTCTCTTGACAAGTGCACTTTTAAGATTCAAATTTTGCACATATGATCTTTTTTTTTAAATTTTATTTTTTTGGGCTCTTCAGTTTTGCTTGGATATGAGATACCAGCTTTTGAATTCATGACCACCAAGTAAAGTCTTCACACAGCCCAGCAATTGGAGGTACTCCAGTAAGTGAATTGTTAACGTTGAGGCAAGATATTGTTATTGTGTTTAATTCTCACCTGCAACGCCACATTAACGTAATTGCAAAGGTTCTTTTTTTTTTAATACTATTTTCATATTTGATTGGACTAGTGTGTGCTCCCTAGCTTGTAAATCTAAGAGTATTAACTTACTATATCTTCATTGCTTTCTTGTCTAGAAGCATCTAGGGTGAAAGAGAATAGGCCGCATGTGGTAGGTAGAGCATTTTGAAAACCCTAGGGAAATTGGATGTGAGAGGTGAGGAATACAAGATATTTTGATTTTTGAAATTTTAAATATTAATGAAGTATCTATCATTAAGTATTCAACCCAAAATAACAATTATTACAGGTCCGGTTTTGGTGCTCATCAAGGGAGGAGCACCCAGCACTCATCAGCTGATGAGCAATTTGGACTGTCCAGATTTAATCTGGACGGTCTAGATTTAATATTTTTAAATAATTATTTTAAAATAGAAAAAAATTTTAAATAATGATAATTAAGAGTTTATTTTTATTTTTTATTCTATACCTATTAAAATAATTATTTTGAAAAAATAAAAATAAAAATAAAACTAAATCTGGACCATCCAGATCAGCGCTGGGTTGCTCAAGACTTATGAGCATCCAAAGTCATTCCCAATAATTACACTGGCTTGATAGAAACCTGAGACAATATTATTATTACTCCTCCGATCTTTAATATAAGACTCATTTAACTAATTTGATTAGATTAAGGAAGTTAGGTAAGTTAGTTAATTATAAAAAATGTGACACATTTTTCCTAAAACACCATAATCATTTTTCTTAATACCTTCTCTCTCTCTTTTACTTGATTATGATTGAGGGAATATCTATAGAAGTAATTTAGAGAAAACTGATAAATATGATAAATGAATCTTATATTTAGGATCAAAACTAACTCAATAATTGAGTTTTATATTAAGGATCGGATGATTATTTTTTTAAAATGAACTGGCTTGTGAAGAGGAATTTGAGTTGAGTCAATGGTAAATCATTTTTAAAAATGAGTGGTTAGAATAGTATCATGATATATATTAATGACGACAAATGTCTCCTAGAAGGACAAAGTGGGTTAGGAAAAAAGATATCTACATCAGCAGAAAAAGTGGGGGAAAAAAAGAATATCACAAGGTACAGTCCTACAGGTGAAACTCTAGCATACTCCCTATCCACAGCTAAGAAAAAGATGTACCCACGGCTTCTTCTTTTCTCTTTTCTTCCTCCTCCCTTTTTCACAAATATGCTATGTTTATCTATTTCAATTGCATTATCTAAAAAGACAATTAAAAAAGGCCGTCGCTCCACATCAGACAGTCCATTTAATGAAGACAAAGATGAACCAAGACGGTTAAGATCATTAAGATGAACCAAGATGTCTTTCTTCCTTTTTCTGTTTATCTTATCCTTTTGGCGCCACAGCAGAGTAAAGAATCATTATCCTTTATGATCATGAGGTGGAACAAATATTCTCCACCCTTTTTTCTTTACTGGGCTGAAAACAAAAAAAATTCTTTTGGCTTTTGAGGTGGGTTTGACAGAGACTTAATATAATATATTTGACCTATATCATAGCATCTAGCTGAAACCTCAGCTTATCCTTAATCAGAGGAGTTCAGAGTTGGTAGAATTTTCATGTTCTAATCTTACAGTCGAAATGTTTTATGCAGCACAATCTCACCAACCTTGCCTCCACATAATAGAATTGTTCGTATCTGCCAGATAAATTATGAACCGTCCATTCCAAATCGCATTTGCTTCAGCAAGCCAATCTTTTAATTGTTTTATGTCCATAGAGATAAAGGGTAGTGAAAGGAATGGCTTCCTGTTCTAGAGAGGCTATAAAATCACTTGTATTCTCCACCTTTAATTATTATGTGTCCAATGGAAACTTAGGCCTACGGCACTTCCATCCTGGTTGGTAAATAAAATGAGGAGGATTCTTAAAGGATACTTACATTGCAATAGCTGCATATACATCAGACACAATTGTGTGACAAGTCAACGTATTTACATTCCTGCAACATGCAATAATCCCACATCATATTAACAACGAACAATCTAGAAGCATATGTGCAACCCAAATCACTAGCCCCAGACCAGAACTTTCCGTACAAAAAACTAAACTAGATTCATCCGAGACAACTATAAGAAAGCTTAAACTGAAAGCCAAGGACCTGCAGGTATTGTAATGTGTCACCTTGCAATGCCATGAGGTGACGTCCATAGATAATGAAGCACTTTGGCTCAAAATTAAAGACTTCCAGTCTACAAATGATAAGTAACTCATGAAGAGATAAGCAAGGATGACAAACACGCTTTTCAATACAGCGCTGAGCTAAAGAGCTACTTTACGTATACTTAAGACAAAACATATGATGAGATCGTCCAGCTCTGGGCAGTCATTGATGATTAAACCATGTTCATTGGCCAAATGAAGAAGGCAGATGAAGCACTTGTGAAGAGAGATATCCTCTGCTTCTACAGCATCAGAATCATTGCTTGGAAGCGAGGCTAACGGATACTTGAAAGATATAGTGCCATCATGTACCTGACAACAAGGACAAAAAAATTATAAGAACAAATGTCTTGGTAATTTCAAAATCTAGTGAACTAAAAACAAACTCTGATCTTGGTTATTCTTCTTTGATGGGTTCAATTAGCATATTGGCTTCCAGGCGTACTTTAAGAATTTACTACCCCTCATACCCACAAATTATAAGTATCTATTAGTTCTTTACCAAGATATGAGTTGTTGCAACACTTCATGGAAAAGAACTTTGTTGATGCTGATGCCCACAGTTTAATCATTCCTAAACACTTCTATGAAATACAAATGGAATCACAACACACATGCAACTATATGAATGTAACAAAACAATATAAAATGGTTTTTTTGGAAAAAAAATATACATATTTATCTATATTCACAAATGAACGTTAAAATTTAACTTATAACAACTAACCATAACCTATGACGCCATTTAGTCTCTGTCTTTCATGGTACAATGTGGGTTGTTAAACCCATATAAATACAGATAGGCACACCAAAAGAAACAAGAGCATATCCCACCAAAACCATCGTTTTGAAGGCAAATCAAGATTTAGGAAGAAAATAACTAAAACTCTCAATGGAAACATGGCAGATATAAGCACAACAGAACAAGATAAGTGGAAACAGAAGTTAGATTGTTGAAGGATATTACCGACTCTGTGCTTTCTCTGGAATCCATCATGTGATGCCAAAGCCACTTCTTCAAAGCATGTACGTCAACTGGTTTAGTAGTTTCCTCATACTGAATCTCAATTTCTTTTACCTGAAGAATGCAGTCCATGAACGTGAGTAACAAAACGAAACGCAAATTAAGGGGAAAAACATAGAGATGGTGGGGAGATTATAAACACGTGATAAAGCAAGCATAAATTATATATTGCCCAAGTTTCTCAACTAGAAGGCATGCGGATGATATTCAAAGCTACCATTGGCCTGAAATTAAAACCTTTCTTCAAAAGGGAAAACATGAATATCGCATTTCACAACTAGTCGAAATTTCAAACTCCGAAGACATTCCTCCAGGGACCCATGAACGACTTTTGCTTTGGAAAAAAATTAGGGCAGACAAAAGAGCGGAAGAGGGGGAAAAAAAATCAGTTCATAACCATTCACATTGGTGGCCTGACTCACTTGAGGCCAAGTATAAAAACTGGGGAAAATTATATGGGATTGTAATTTAAAAAAAAAAAAAAAAACCTGGCAAGGGCGGGAGATAAGTTCCTCATTGACTTCACCACTACTATAAACATGCATGTCATCACGATGATCATCAGATGCACTCTTATGGTCCCAGTGTGGCACTAGATCACTGGTCTGTTGCCAATAGTTTTCACCTGGAACAAATAGTAATGGCCATGTCACAAGAATGTTATATCCTCTCTGCAGACAATCGGATAGGGAAAAAAAATATGTTGTGAGTTGTATTAGTAAGATAACAAATCTTATAAAACAATAGGAATGTGCAGAACCACTACCTCAGTCATTATGCCTTACTCTATGAGAAACAGGAGAGTTGGGTCACAAGGTTGAAATTAGAAATGAGAAAGCCAATATTCGCCTTGTGTTTTTTAATCGAGAGTTCCTAAAACAATGGGTTGGAGACCCATGATGTTTTGTCATTGCAAAAACTATGGAATCTCGAAGTCGGAAATATAAGCACAACTGGTAGAGGTATGGTAAGGTGGAAGGATTTTCTTTTGTGTGTGGGTTGTCTGATAAAGGGTAGAGTACCAGAATCTGAAAAACAATACTCTTTAGCAGCAGGGTGGAGAATTTCTGAAAGAAACAAGTTCATATACTTATTCGAGGTTCTTACAGCCAGCATATCATACTTTATCAAGGACGTTAGACAGAGACTAGAATTACTGCCTTAAACACGACATACACGCACAAAGTACTATACTAATGCAAACATGTAACGAGGTGGACTATAGGCGGACATGACTCAGACATAATTGTAAGACGTAATATACAAAGCAAGAATCAGCTTCCTGAGCCACTTCGCAAGTTCAGGCACGTTTTTGTCTTCTAGAATAAGTCTCTAGAGTCTGCTGAGATGGCAGTCTCTTAACAATAACATGTGATCTAGACATATCATGGTAACAAAGATATTACTAAAATTGATGGCCCATTATTGCTGATTAGAGCGCACTCCATAAGTTGCAAGATGGAAATTTATACCTGATGGATTTATTCTTCTCTTCCCTGGGAACTGGAACGGAAAAACAAGATTTTGTCGTTAACTTGCATGAAACAACAGTCCAACCTAATATAACTTTCTTGTGAATGAAGTGCATAAAATAAAGCATCATGAATCAAACATGTATAGACTACACATAATTTTTCCCCTTTTGGGGTAGAAAATTTTATTCAGAAAAACCAATAAATATACAAGAGAGTAGAAATCAAGATTACTCCTAGAAGTACAAAACAGAAACATTTTACAAACATACAATTCTTGTCATCAACATAACTACTCATCGTGACATTTGGATGAAAAACAGCCTTACAATATCCTGAGGATGATAATGGCAATCTTCTTGAAGTTTTTTATTTGGTGGTTTTCGGTTTGAAGCCAGCAGTGTGGACCTGGGATTTTGTGGAGGAGAAAAGATATTTGGCATCTCTTCGTTTGAAAATTCCATAAATTGAATAACAATATCTAAAGTATATTTGTTCCTTGATTTCTTAGTGGTGAGGTTTGGTCCACATTCTGAACCAGGAACATTCTCAAGAGCAACATTATAGGGGTGTAAGGAAGCAAAATCTATAACAACAAGTAATGCAAACAAAAAACTGTGAATGCTGCATGCATGCTCTTGAACCTCCACAAGTACTTCCAGTGATCAGGATCTGCCCAAGCATTCTGTTTAGAAGTATTTCCCAATACCTGTAACAAAAACATAGATATTAGCACATAGCTGCCATCGATATTTTCTTTGTAAAATGCACAGCGGTCATTATACTACACAAATAAAAGACTGATTTGGAGACCTTATCATATTTTTAGCAAGACCTTGTGAGAGAAAAGAGAACAGTGAAGAATGCAAACATGAAACTCATAAGTAACGTGTTAATGTGCAGATCAACTCTCCACTAAAAGATCTGGCCAAAAACTATCCAATGAAAGATGTAATCATGCAAAACATACCCACAGAAATCCTTGAAAGTCAGAATCCAAAGAGTTAGACCTTTCATTTACAGCACTTGCCTCATCAAAATCATCAAAGTTTGCATAATGGTTTCCAAGCATACCACTATCAAAATCAGGTTCCTTGTTACTAAATGCATCAGCTCTTTTTTTCTGGTGCTTGACTCAAATTCTCTGTTGAAAATGACCCATGATTGTGCTCATCTAATTGGGTAAAAATATCCTGAAGAGTGGGAGATATTTTAGTCCTTGTTGCCATCTTCATAACCATCTGCTTAGTTGACTCTATCATAGGACCATAATAGTAAGGGAATTATTGATTACCAAAAAAATTGGAAGAAAATCAATCACAGCTTTTACAATATACAAAGCAAAAATTTTCTAACCAGTGTCTCAGCCCTACACCTTTAGCGAAGGAAAGATCAATTTTATCTGAAGCATCAATACGTTGTGAATATGACTTGTATTTCCCCGGAACTTCAAATGAATCAAAAAGAAAACAGCATCCTTCATATATTCCAAAGTTGTTCGGTAAGAGACCCATGATTCCACCCTTATCAAATAATAAGGAGGTTTGACGATATAGAGGAGCCGCCGTAACGGCCACTGGGAGGAAGGATATGAAATACAGATTACAAAATGTTAAAATAAAACTGAAATGGTGAGAAATGAAAATCATATGAATACAATTACCATCAAACTTCTTAACATTAAGAGGTTCAAAGGAAGATTCCAGTGTTGCGAACGGTGATAGCTGCAACAACCACATGTATAAGTTCTATACGGTAGTCTCAGTATAACTGTATAAGCAATAAAAAACGAAAAAAGTTAAGTGTGCATCTTCTTGTCCAAATCTAACCCAGGTTTTGAGTGGCACTTGCAATTACTACCATTGATGTGATCAACATCAGCAATTTTTTCTGCCAGCGAAGAACTATGAAGTATTTCTAAAACCAAAGTTAATATTCATCAATAAAACTAATGCCAACAGCTTCCATAACGAGTCATGTAGGGAAAAAGTTAAATTCTGATAAAATATTAGAGAACTATGCACTAAGGTTTGCCCAAAAAAGAAAACAAAGATAAAAGAAAACTATAGCCTAAATTGTGACTACTTGTTACCCTCTTGGGAGAGAAGGATATGCATATACACAAAAATAATCAGGAAGCGCAAAAGAACAAAAGCCTGTTTAAATGGAAAGCATGAAGTGAATTAGTCCTCCCCTCCATTTGTCCAAATCAAAACAAGGAAGAGTAAATATTAAGAAACCCCAGTTACGTATTATTGCAGGATATGCAAATCAGCTTGGAGCATTGACTAGAACTAGAACCATGTTCTGTCTAATTAGGATAACATATACTACCTCTGGTCCTAATTATAAAATCTTATTTATAGTCTACAAATAAGATCTCATAATTAGGACCATAAGTAGTATTTTATTGGAAACAGAAGTGAATTGACTGTTCAAAGAATGCTTGTTTCCCATAGAAAAAACTAAAGGAGGACAGGAGGGGAGAAAGAGTGGAATTATCACATGCTGAGATTTTGAGACTCAAAAATAACAAGCATCTTTCTTCATCATGTGGAATACTAAGAAAACTATTTGTCACTGCCCATCAAGAATTGAAATCATACTGTCCAAATTGGGCATGAACCATTAAGGGACTCATCAAATTCCAGTAAAATAATCTAAAAAGTGAGTATCCAAGGATAAAAGTATCTGAAATGGGTGCATTATTATCGAAAGCTTCAAATGAAGTATTTAAAATTGGACAGGTATGTGTTCATAAAATCAAGGGAAACACATTCCATGCTCATCACAATGATAAGCATGGAGTGCTCATTGTAATTTGGACCATCCAAATCGATTTTAGATTGTTCAGATTGAATTTAAATTTTTATATATTTTAATCAATTTTTTGTTTTAATAAATACAGAATTTAAAATAAACATAATATCATAACTAAATTTAGTTGTAAACAAAAATTAAAGGAGAGACAGAGCAGTTAGCAGAACCCAAATTTATGGTATAATTAACTCCTGAATCGTTGGTTACTTTCTGAATTTGAAATTGAAATTTTCACATGTAGTAATTAAAATCTCAACAAGCATGTGTTTCATACTTTCTGCCATTCTCCTGAAATAGTATGCCTGCAGTGCTCTAGGCAGCGACATGATAAGATCCAGGACGTCCAAAAACTTGGGCGGTCTAAAATTAAAATCTATAAGTTATTTCCCTTTGTAATTTTTAAATTAAAAAAAACATTTACTATTTACTACTACTTCTAGTCCTTATTATAAGACCCCGTTTGACTTTTTGTTTGGTCCTAATTATAAGACCCCAATCCATTTTGTCTCTCGTATTTATACATTTTTTTCCAAAATAATCCTTCTAATGATAGTTCTAACCAATACACTTAATTAGTAAGGATATTTTAGGAATAATAACACTTATTTATTATAAATAACTAACTTAACTTACTTCCTTAACCTCTTCAAATAAGTCAACTAGGTCTTATAATTAGGAGTGGAGGTAGTATTTGGGTAAAAAGAAAATAATGCTAAATCTTGACGGCCCATATTTTGATATGGACGGTCCATAGTGCTCCTCACCTGAAACCGTTTTTCTGAAAGAACACTTCTTCCCGTCAAGGAGCGGGGATCCGAGTCTGAACGCCTCGTCGCCAGAAGCAGAGAAGCAGCGAATTTGGAAGGGCCTTGAGAAGGAGGTCAAAAGCTGAACACCAATCGGAGCACCCGAACTTGATGGAGAAGATGAAGAGTGCATATTCAACGGAAAGGAGGAAGAATTGACGGATTCGAAAATTTCAATCTCTTTTCCAGTCGGAACCTCAAATAGCTCCACCAGTAGGTAATTACCTGTTTCGTCATCCCTTGTGCAGTAGATGATAAATTTTCATCCTAATTAGCGCTAAGTGAATGAAACGACGAACCAAAACAAGCGTGAAGGAGGGGAGCTGAATCACGTTTCCTTATTCTTGGCCTACTTTCGTCGAATCAAACCCTAAACCATTACTCAATTCGAGAAGATGGGAATTATCGCTGCTACAACTACTTCTGCAATATGGAAAGAGATAGAACTTGCGGAGAGCTATCTTGTTTGTTCCATGTTCGAAGAAGCGGCGTCATTAGCTTCATCTATCTTTAAGCGTCTACGTGAACGTGGTAGAGGCATGGCAACCGAAGAAGAAGCTTCTCAACTGTACGACATGCTGGAATCAACTGGTATGGTGCAGGTTCAGTCGTTAAAGGAACTGGGCAGGACATTTGAAATTCTGAATCAACTCAGACAGTGTTTTGTGTCGGTAAAGTTCATTCCTGCTCAAGTTCTTCTTACTGGGGCTTGCTTCCAAATCGCAGACGGTTCTCCTTTGGCCGTTCGAGAGTTCCTTGAAGAATTTCTTAATGGCTGGATTCTTGAGGGTGAACAATACTACACTGTCGTAGCAGAAGCAGACTTAGAGCGTGAAGTCGGGGATAATATACAAATTGTTCTAGGAATTGATAATTATGTGGAAATTGTTGAGGTCTATGCTGTCACTCTTCTTGCGACAGTTCTAAACAATGTAGACCTTGCTATTTCCTGGGTTGAGAAAGCTCCATTGCCTGAGGAAAAAAGACAGGGAATTTTGAGGAGGCTACACTCTATGCATTCCTCTAAATCTACCAACGCGTCCCAGATTTCCCTTGCACAATCAGCAGCAAATAATAATGAGGCTTTTTCTCTGGCAGAACTACAGTCATGTGAAAGCTTGCCCAATGCCTTAAAAGGCAAGCACCCAGACAATAGAAAGTTCAGACCAAAAGAAGCGATTCTAAAATTGTCTGAACGAATAGAGCCATGTTTCTGGTGCTTCCGTTCTATCAATTTGAAGCTTGGCAATACTCATTTTGTCATATCTAAGGGGAAGATAATGCTTGGTTGTGTGGTCTTGCTTATATGTTATGTTTTGAAGAAGAAGCAAGCTAGTGTAAAAAGAACTGTGAGAAGGCAATTAACTGCCGTGAAGAGGGCATTGGTAGATATATGGCAGCTTGCATTTTCGTACCAGGTAAACCCTCTAGCTGCTGTTCAACCTCTTCCTACCGCTACACGCGGAGGTCAGTGATGGAGTTAGAGGCCATTCATGACCTAGCATTTGTAATTCCTGGATTGATTGAACAGCCTTATGGTTCTTGCCCTTGGAAGGCCGCATTATTTATTGTTATGTCTTTACTTTTGCACTTTGCAGCTCAGTAGCGCCCCAGTAGAAGCAACATAGCAAAATGCTGTCTGCTCTGTTTTTCTCATATAGTAGTCTAGTACTATAAGTACTCAAAATAGTTAACTAGAAGGATCACATGACTTATGACTATAACAGGTACTAATCCCCAACATTTGGGGTTAAGTACATAAAACCTACAGTCTATTCAGCACCATTTAGATAAATCTTCTATTAATTTGATATCTTGGTTGGTGCTAGTGGAAAAATGGTCAGATCAGGATCTTTAAGTAAGCCACAATCTCTATGGAAGCTAAGAAATGGAATTATCATAACCCCACATTAATGAAATCACAGAACCAAATGAGAAGAGAGGAATGTGAACCCTGTTCTTATTCTACACAGCTTGCTTCATTCTGGTGAGGAATTTGTATGCCTCCGAATGCACAGCGTCCGCCCTTGCCGAGTAAATTTTTACCCCTGCTTCTAGTGTGCAGCTTCCCTGCCAATTCCATCTCAAAAGCAAACTATTATTACCACAAAAACGAAAAAATCTTCATTGATGATTTCTTCTGTAAGACGGACCCAGTGACCTTTTGGAAGGTGGTCTCTGCATCATTTTCTGCATCAACTTCGATAATCTGGCTGAGATGATCTATGAGCTTCAGCTCCCAACTGTTCTTCAGAGTTATTTTCTATTCTTGGGCAAAAAGAACATAATACCGTTAGAAGAATATATATACAGGTTAGGCTGCAAGTGTCAATGGAGAATTTGTGCATGCTATTGCCATTATCAGACTAGTAAAGACTGGTGTCAAATCTTTGTAAACTTCAGGCTCAAGATAAGCGTTAAATGTTCGAATCATTATTTTCTAAATAATTTACTTTTTTTCCCCCAATCAGATCTCTCTGAAAATGAATTATTTCAACATCCTCATTCTTAAACGTATTTTCTCTTTTTTGTCCCTTCCAAATAGAAAACAACTTTTTGCGATTTTTCCTGGGCAGTTAGATCCGTTATATCCATATCTTACTATCTGACATAATCAATATTCGCAGGGGCAGATGTATATCCCATCGATCCGCAACTTGACCCCGCCAACTCAACTCACTTATGGATTTTGCAAAACGATCTATAAATAAAATCATGAGAACTTTCCAGAAGATGAACTAGAGAGTTTGCATATTCATGCTATTTCAGTTTAACATTACGGCCGCTATGGTGGCAAAAAAAATTAAGATTATTGCTACTAATTTTATGTTTCTTATCATCCATGTCATCCTAATAATTAATTGGAAAAAAATGTCATTACAATAATTATATAGTGGGCCGTGGGCCTATCTGAGACAGCTCCTCAATATATACAAGGGCTTTTGTTCAGAAAGATGTGATCCAGATGCCCTACTTTGTAATTTTCTAATTCACGCTTTGCCTTCTTTTTTAACAAAAAGAAAAAAAGAAGATGGAATAAGGTTTCTGTGCAAATTCTAAGACTTGGATGTACAATACAACCGTCCATGGAACGCTTTGAGACCTTAAAAAACAATGTTGACAACTGAAAAGAGAACAAAGGGAAGAAGTTTCTCTCAATATCAGAACAAGTCAAGGAAGGAAGGAAGAAAGGGGCCTTTTTGATGATCCTCATACAAGGTAACCCCAACAAAAAGTGTTCTTTTTCCCAAATCTACCTTTACTCTAGGTGGGCTTAAATAAAAACTAGGGGTTCAAAAGGAAGTGAGAGCTAACAAAACTTTTTTTTCCCCATGAGGGAGAGTCAACAAAACATTAATATCAGATGATGATATGATTTGTATTCACTCATATTGGCTGTAGAGAGCCCACAAGTGACAAATATGTATATAGTGTTCGAATTTTAATATATTAACCATATTTTGACTCACATTGTAAGAAACTTGAAATTGAAAGCGACATTATTTATGACTTTATAA